ATTTTAATAAATTAAACAACAAATTTGCAGACTTAGTCAAAAATATCTGCTAAAACTGCATTGTCATATTATTTTTTTTTTATTTATGACTTCTTAAAGGGCTTATCTATCCAGCTTTCCATTTGCATATCGTTCGAATGATTACAGCTTTATTAAAATCCAAATATGTACATTAGAGAGTGTTTACATGCCCAGATACCAAATTTAGCATCGAACGAATGATCTTTGCCGACCTTAGTAAATCCTATTTAAAGATAATAGTGTAATTCTAGAAACTTCCCAAGTACCAGGTATGTATGTATATTTAAGTTTTCTGCTCACACTCACAAAAACACACACACATTTTTAGTTTGTTTCCACACACACGCACTCACCCTTTGTTAAGTTGGCAATGAGAAACTTACGCCGTTTAACAAACACTTTGCAGTACCGCCAATTAACAAGCAGATCCGAAACAACAGCCACCTTAAGCCATCCAACTCACACAGACCAAGTCGCAATTGTTCAGCTGAGGCGACTCTCACAGAAACCGAGTGAAATCGGGAAAATCATCAGCGGGGGCAACACGAGTACCTTCCATCCAAGTATCCGCCCCATCCACATCGGTGTCCCAAATTGCCAGCGAAGGCACAACAACAGCAACAGCCTTAAGTTAAGTTGCTCCTATGCCAGTTTAGGCAAAATGCAGGCCACGCCCAGCGAAGATGCTCAGCCGCAGGATCCGCTCAAGTCCTTCGAGAGGGACTATTGCGACCTGCCGCACTACCAAGTAAGTACACTGAGGGAATCCTACAAAATCTTCAACGGTTTGCCAATTTAATATCGGAGAAACAGTGAACTCTAGTTCAAAATGTTTTGTCAATAACTATATTTCAAGATAAATGGTATTTGTATAGGTACATTGAAGATCTTAGAAATAGTAGACAATTAATATGCATGTTCACACGAATAGGAAATATATGTACTTATTTATATGTTAAGCGGTATCATTCTAAGTAAAATACTCAAAAATCTAGGTTCTTAGAAATAGTAAAACATGAACTGTCAGGGAATCTTTTAACTTCGCATTTTGGAAAATTAGGATCATTCAAGACAAAGTTATCCAAATTTAAGATCAAACTATCTCTCTAGATAATCATTTAGTATCTTAAAAAAGGCAGAGAAATACTTTTAAGGCTGTAGGTGTAATAAATAAAAGCATACCTAATAATTCTTCGCTTAAGGATAAATATACTTTTATATTTTGAACCTAAAAATATTTTTGAGCTCTGTATAGAAGGAATGGTGGGGGGAGGTAGCTGCAACAGCAGCACATCAATCAGTTGCAGCAAAACTCATTAAACTTGTGCCAATTGTGCCAGTCAAAGGAGGTTGGCCAGAGTTGCCACCCCCAGTCGTAAACCGCCCCTTCCTCGGATTCTATATATTATTGTTTTTGTTCCAAGCACTTTGATTGCTTTGCCGCACTGCCTGCGTTCTCAATTTCAGCCTCAGCCTCATTCCCATTCTTATTTTCAATTTTACTACTTTAAAATTCGCAGCGTATGTATGTGTTTGCTGTGGGGGAAGCTGATAAGGCAGATCATTAATTTTCCGATTTTCGTCTCTTTTCAGTGCGACATGAGTGATTCTGCACCGAATACCCCGGGACCCAGCTCAGGCTCGGCCCTGCCCAAAAAGTATTACCGCAAAGCGGCCCACAGGTGAGTCCAAAATGGCTTTAACGAAAACTTATAAATAGGCCTGGGTGATTAAAAGATTTCAAAAGCCTGAAATAGCAATTACAAACCAAAAACAAAACCATAGTTTTAATTATGTTTCAAGACGATTAGAATAAATTTAACCGAGTTTTAAGCTTTATAAAGAAGAATCTTTAAGTCGGTGACCAAAATCAATCGAAAACTTTTTAAATTGTTTTTGCTCAGTGTAAGCGACATTTGTTCAAGAGAGATTTTTTCATAAATAGAGTCCATATACCACGGTCAATGCCAAGTGCGAGCGGTTTTCTACGGCCTTATCTTCTTATCTCGCAGCCAAAACAACAACAAGCGGAAAAACAACGACTAGCTAGTTAATCCACACGAAACGGGGACGTTCGCTTGACAACCTGATGTTGATAGTATCCGCCCATTAGTCTAGGCAGAAATTTGGGAGTATGGGACTTGACATCATATGGAAACATACAATATTTAAAGTTAGTACCGTACATGTTTTAGTTCAGTTTATCAGTGTATTAAATAAGACCATATAATAGAAAGTTCAGAACCATCTAACAGAAAAAAATTTTAAAAATAAATATTTTTTATAAATATTGTTTACAAGCTGAACTTAAAATTAGTAAAATAACCTTTATTGCTTGAATTTTTATTTTCAAATAAAATACTAAAAGAAAATATAAAAATATTCTTTTAAAAAGTTTGGACTTAAAACTATTAATATTTGCAATATCATTACGAATAACAAATGTATTACATATGAAGTATTTAATCATTTTTTACTTCAAAGTGACAATTAGGAAGTATTAATTATTGTATTGTAGAATTATTATTATTGATGAAGCATTGGAGCTTTTTTCTGGTTAGCTCGAGATACACCTATCTTATCTTGTAAAATCTGAAAAAAAAAATATTTTAGAATATGTTTGTGTGGACATTCCAGGGTATGCAGGCCCTCGTGCATCTACTTTTTGCCGCCCATCGTCTCCTTTGCCATTTTTGTTTTTGCTGATTACAATATTTTGTGACGCTGCCCATTATCGCCCGGTTTTAGTGGCTTGATGAGGTGTGTGTGTGTGTGTGTGTGGGGGGGGGGAGGTTTGTTGGACTGTGACAGTGGTGAGGGGTGCGGGGTGGTGGGCGCAGGGGGTCCCCTCTGAATTGCTTGTTAGGCGTAGATGCAAGTGAGTGGACACTTGGAGACACTCAAGTGCCAACAGCAACTGCAGTGTGCGTTTATCTCAACCTGTGCTTGTGTGTTGACATTGACACGATGCAAAGTGCATGCTATAGTTTTTAAGAATATTTATCTCTATATTCGGCCACGACGTTTCGAAAAGGTGTTAAGTGAGTGGGCAGTGAGGGAGAAAGGCCCATTTATATAAGACCCAGTTGGACTGATCGATAAAGATCCCCACACCAATATCCCCAGAAATGCGAGATGAAATATGGGCTTATGGAATATGAGCATGGCAATGAATATGCAAATGGCTGATGAAATATTCATGAACTCCGCCGCGCCCATCAAAATTATAATTGAGCCCATAATTAATGCGCTCATATATCTGTTGGCTTGGCAATACGTATGCATGCATGTATGTATATCAGTGCCTTGCTGTTTATGCTGCTGCCATTCTGAGGTGTCACAGGGATTTGCATATACAAAATCGAATCGATTTATGGGCTGTCAATGCCGCTGGCGAATCGAGAGCGTTCGATCGCCTATCTGTATCTGTATCGCCCAATAAAATCTCTGTGAAAAGTCGAGCACACAAAAAATTCCACTTAGTCAAGTCGCAAACCCCACGCACTAGTAAGTACACCGAGAAAAAGTGGCTTAATTTAGCAAATCTTAGAATAGAATACATCGAAAATATTTGATAGGATATTATTCTTAATTTAATTAAATCTTGAAGGCTTTTCTCTCAGTGTCTGTCACTTATTGGAACTTGTTGCCTGCTGGGGCGTGGGCACATTGCCATAAATAGTAAGAGTGTGCCACATAACTACATATTTGGGTACAGTTGAGGGCACAGCAAGTGTACTGTTAAACGAAAGTGCAGGGGCTTGATCTGAAGTATTTAAGATCTTGAATCTGGTATAGAGTTTATTTGAATTGTCTTTTAATGCATATTCATTTTCCTTGCCATTTTAATGAATTATTTAAATTCCGTCGATCCGTCGCTCAAATAGATTCCTTTGTTGTTTAAGCAATTGTTAAATGTGTCACAATTCTTCACTGGAGAAGATGGAATAATATTTGAATTCTAAAACATTTTCTTTCCGTGTAAGCCACTTGTTTTTACCAAAATGATAAGGAAATATTTCGGCAAATCCATTACTATTTCCTCAACCTACGCTGTGAGCGTGTGTAGCTCGCTTTTGTGTGCATAATTTCATTTCTTTGCCGCTTTCCAAGCATTTCCAAGAGTGGCACACTAAAATTTCCATGCGCACAAGTGGGTGTAGTCATTGTAGTTGTTTTGTTTGCCATATTTGTTGTTGTTTGGCCATTGGAGCTATTTTTGAGTGAGCAAGCAGGGCGTGAAGATAAACGAGAGCGCGGGCGGAACACGGGAGTGGGAGTGACGAACCGCCGACACCCAGTACACTTAAAGTATTGTGATCATCACTAAAACAGTTACATCACAAATCAATTTAAACAATTTTTTGTTTTATGATTTGAGAATATCTAAAAAAGATTTACCACAGATTACAGATTAGGCGTGTCGCTTTCGTTCTGTAAAGAGTTTGAAGTTTCATTTAGCTTAGATCTCTTCTAATGGAATGAAATGGAATGTACAGACAAAATCTAAACAAACACAGCTTTAATATGATTACGAAATTCATGAGAAAGACGTGTAAAAATGTGAAATTCAACTCGACTGACATTGATCACACTTTAAAATGGTTTCTTACTTTCTAATTGAGCTGTTTGTTTTTCTTCGGTGTAGCGTGTGACCAGGACCGATCATCCCCTCACCGAGTGATGGGTAGCAAAACAAAGTAGAAAACATTTTTTGTTTATTGCATAAAAGGCATCAAAACAACAACCGAACGGTCTACGTTGACACCGTCCCCAACAGCAACAACAACAACAGAAAGGCGGCTAGACAGAGAGAGAGAGTGAGAGTGGGGAAGAGCGAGCGAACGGGAAAGAGCAAAGCTTTCGACGCCGACGCTCTGCCGACAGTGTGAAAACGGAGAGAGTTTGGCGCTCGTCGCTCTCTTTTCTGCCCGACTGCTCAGCCGCCGCTTCCTTCCACCATTTCCATTTCCACATTGCACTTTCAGTTGAAATTCGAACGTTGACCGAAATCGTTCGAAAATCGTATCGCCCAAAGCCAACTGAATCGAGGAAAATCCAATTCCAAATACGAATCGAAATCGAAATTCCGAATTGAGTCCCAAAACTTTTTTGTTTTTTATTTTGTTACCTAAACCGATCATCGACAAGAGTGAACCGCGCTGCCACGCACGATCGCCATTCAGATCCATTCCAAACTCCAGATCTCGGTGACGTAGACGTCCGCCGAAAACAGCTGATAAGATACTTATCGCACGTCCCCCCCCTCAACCACTTGCACACCCACTGGGCGAAAAAGCTTTATCAGCAGCAGCAGCGACGCGGCGCAGCATTTGTGGCCTTGTAATCCGCGGCACCGCCAAGATGCCACAGCCTAAACAACAACAACAGCAGAAGCTGCAGCAGCAACAGCTGCAGAAGCAGAATCCGCTGCAGAAACATTCCAGCTCCAGTCCGAGCTCCAGTCCGAGCTCCAGTCCGAGTTCCATTTCCAGTCCCGGCATCAACACTTCCACGATCGTAAAGCGGGAACGAGAAAGGGAGCGGGAACGCACGCAGACGATCGGGGAAACAGACATGGATCAGTCGGTGCTCAATGGATTAACGTTGGGCGGAGATGTTGGCGGTTACCATGGACACAAGCGCGAACTGGGTCACAGGTGAGCGGTGCTCCACAGAGCGGTAATACATAAAATATGATCAATTGGATATTTCAAAATACTCCCATGAGAGATATACACTTTCGAGTGGAGTAGATACAAAAGGCAGTAAAGATCATTAAATCTAGACCGATCAAACTGTTTTACATCTAGCAATGTCATAAATATGGAATGTTAATTTGGTAATTTGGCAGCTTAAAACCTAATTTAAGCTTACCATGAGCTCGTGAAAACGGGCATCAAAGCTAAAAAGGGCAGTTACGTAGATCTAACATCCTAGATCGATTAAATGATTGTACATCTAAAAAAGTCTGAATGAAAAATATCTACCAAAACCATTTCCTAGCCAGAGATTCTACCGAAAGCTGACTAGGAATATGCTTATTTTGAATTTTTAAAAGGCAGTTAGATCGTACATACCTTCTGGATTGATCACATTTAGTTTATTTAATTCAATTTCGCACAGTTGCACAGTAATCCTCAGTTAATCACACAAGGAACAAAGTGCATCCAATAACAGAAATATAATATTGCCTTCGTTCTTAAAAAGTACATTCCAGAATGAATGAATTATTTCCTATCAATCGAACATTCTTGATTGTGGAAAGTATACTACAGCTTTTTATGAATACAAAATATAAGCTGTCCATTGATTGCTATATAACTATGTAATAAACATAAATAAAATTTCATGCTGGCAAACATTTTTGCAAGTATTTAATAATAATCATGATTTAAGTGACTCAGTAAAGAGCTGAAGAGATTACTAAAAAGATGCCAGTACAAAGCCTGTACTATGAATATTAAATACGATGATCTAAGATAGATCAATTAGTGTGGTTACATAACCTATATGGCACATTGTTAAATAGACCAAATTTTCCAGCTACTTAGTTCATGGTATGCGTATCTCCCTATGTAATCTTGATTGAATCATGCACCCTTATCTTCTTCTCACTATGAGTCACACGGGTTGTGGACTAGCAGTGATATACGAGTGTATTTATTTGCATGCCCATATAGTGCAAAAATGTGTGGCAAACCTTTGATCATATCGCTGGGTTTACCAAGCTTTTAAATCCGATACGATAGGTTCTTATCTCTATGATTTTGAGGGTCCTACTTTTTGGGGTCAAGTGGTTACATAAGGTGGCGGGGAGTGGGTGGTCTACTTGACAAGCCCAACTGCTGTTTACAGTTATGAACATGGCCTTGACCATGCCACACAAACATACTTTTCACGTTTCCCCCATTCAATTGGCAGGCTGCCTAATTGCCGCCAATGGTGCCCCCTCCCCCTTTTCCCACCCACCGTTCGATCATTTAATTTCGGTTTATTTGATTTCTTCGCTTGTGAGTCAATTAATGCAAATTTCTGGCTGTCAACGCGGCAGTTGGCTTAATGAGTCGCCACCAGGCTAATCTCCGACTGCAATCAGAGCAGATTAGCTGGGCTAGCTGGGCTATTCCTCAATCGTCGTTGAGCTAAATTGGCATATTTATGTTTCACATTGGTGAGCTGGCAAATGATTCTCAAGGCACAACTACTCGCTTAACCCCTGGGCTGCCCTGGGTTTAATTCAGCTGCAGCAACGTGACCTGCCACCTGCCCCGGTGCTCTTAACCCCTTATCCCTTTGGCGCTTTCGAATGCAAACAATGTTCGCTGCTCTTTGTACCTTTCGCGACCAACTTCACCTTTTGCCGACATCCCATGATTGTCTTAAATCAGACATGACCTCCTCGTCCCTTTTCCTCGGCGGGGGTCACGTAGCTGGCAACTTTTATTGCGTAGCCGGAAACGCCGCGAACATTCACGACTGCCGGAGAATGGACAAAGGCGGAGAATGGAATGGTGTGGAATCATCAGGGGCGGGGGGTCGTGGTGGTGGTTATTCTGTGGCCATGGAAATGGGGCAGGAGCCACTGCAGCAGCCGCAGCAGGAAAAACTTTAATGCAATTTGCATTCCATTGAAATTCACATGCTAAATTTATTTTAAAACGAGCTGGTTTTCTCCGAACACACAGATGCCACTGGCTTTTCCAATTCAATTGTCGTAACTTTTTGGCCAAACTTAATATTGTTATTATTATTATTTTCGGCCTGGCGTTTTCAATGGCTAATTTATGCATATTCCAGGCCTCTGCACTTTTATTGGGCGTTATGTTAATAAGTAATTTCTGTTTTTTTTTTAATTATTCATTTTATTTTAATGTGCTGAAAACCTTGTTATTCATGTGATACATTCGAAAAATAAAACGTTTCATAGTAGGGCTTTAATCCGAAAACTACATTTTTGACCACAAACAAAAACAGAAGCACATACAACAGAAAAACAGAAGAATCATTTTCTGAATATGCTTGCAATTAAATAAATCAAGTATTTAATTTAATGTGGACTTATATTATTGATAGACAAGTCTTTTCTAAGACGCAGAAAATAATAAATATCACAATTAAAATGTTTGAGCACAAAGAATAAAGAAATCTGAAGCAGCAACAAAGTGGAAGGTAAACATATAATTATTTAACGCAATCGAACAAAGAAGTAGAGGAACGTAGATTTTCATAGACTTAAATATCGATTTAGTTTGTATAGAAAATATGTGTGTATAGAAAATAATGGCAAATACAGCGGTGTTTGAAGTAATAAAAGTGTTAATTTGTTTAACTTTCATTTTCAAAAACCCTAAAACACTGTTATTTAAACACATCTGTATATGAAGAACGATATACCCACCCAAAATCAAAGTCAAGGTCGGGTCGAACCACGCCCACTACGCCCCCGTAGCTGATTATATTTTGATTGGACGCAAGCTAAATTATTTGATTAATGGGATGTGCCAGAAAATAAACAAAATTTGCGGCAAATGTCACATTTGCAAATTGGAAAACCTCCCCATATTTGCAATTGCACGTACATATATCTGCATGTTGTCGAAATTTATTGAAATATACGTACATATGTATATAAACAAAAAAGAGGGACGCATTTTGCGGTCGATGTAGAATTTAATTTGGCATTTCGTTCTCGATTAGGTCGCGACTTTTGTTTATGTCTTCTATCCAATCTGACGGGAGATGATTAGTGGGCGAGGCCTCTTCTCGGCGACTTTGATACGATGCGATTTGCCTTGGCAGTGCATCATTAAAATGCAAACAACATATTCCACCTTTGACTAAGCGGTGGCCACGCGTGCAGCACATTGGATCTGCAGTTGAAGGACTCGCAGCAGGGGCAGGAACAGGAGCTAGAGATTCATCTTCATCTTCAGGTGCAAATAGTTTTCCAACATTCGACAGCAACTTAGCATTCAACAATGTTCTAAGCGCGTGTTTGGACGGGGATTGTGGTTTCTGGTTTGAAGAGTTCAAAGTTGCAGGGGGATGTTCACATTATTTTATTTTATTGTTGTACTTTGTACGGTTATTTCAACTGAATATATTTTGAAGTGTTTTAACATATGATTATTAATGCATTTTTTAAACTTAATAAGTAAGAAATAAGAATAGGTTATAATATGCACAAGCTTTAGTTATTAAGCGTTGGTCATCTTTTTATATTTAGCTATTGAACTTGAAATATATCTATAATATTATTATTATTGAAATATATTTCAAGATTTCGTACATATAATCCTTTAGGCATAAAACAAGAAATCCTTCTATGCTTGGCAATAAAGCGGTCACAATAAAGCCTTTTATTATGCAAAATCAGATATTAGCCTATCAAATGGTTTTATGCATTTTAGTCACAAATTCATTTTCTAACGCTTAGATTGTTCAAAATCTTTTAGCCTACCTAGTTTCAGAACAGGGTTCCAATTTGGGGTTCGCTTTCTTTAATTTATCTAGTTCACTCTGGCTTGTATGCAGCGGCTTTTTGTGTGCTCGAATAAAAAGCATATTCCATAAATTTGGCAACATAGTTATCCTAATTAAGGGGCAATCCTTTATCTAATAGTTACTTAGATTAGATTGGCACTATCCCGAAAGCAGAGAGTGAACGGTATTGATGCCACAGCCCCAGTGTATGAAGCCCGGAGGATTTGACTGAGCGAACTACCACGCAAAGGTCCTCGATTGGCCGTAACTCTTCGTGGCACCTATACCGATGAACTATGAACTATCGAGAACCAGATGTTGTAGGGCATCCGTATATGGTTCGACTGTAGGTACAACGTGGATTTGCCCAAAGTGGAGCAGCTCGTGGATGGCGCGGACCGGAATACCGACATTCCGAATCTGGCGGCTACTCTTTCATCTCCGTCGTCAGCAGGGGGTCTCTGAAATTGGATTAACCTCAGCACAATGCAATTTGATTAAGTTCGTTTAGATCAAATTGGACGCCACAGCATCGCAGGGGCTGCAAAATAGAGGGTGGGGGGGGGGGGTGGAGCTCCAGCCCTTGCTGGCTAATTAAGTCCGGCGTATTCACATGCTAAGCCGTCCTCAATCAATTGGGGGGACCCAGCCATCCATCCATCCATCCCCCAGAACCCTTCAGCGGTCTGTCAAGGTCGCACGCGATGAAGCCCCCTGACAATGAAATTGAAAGTGTTTACTAAAGCCGCCTTCATCGCAGGCTAAACTACAATAAAAGCTACACAGAAGCGGCGCCGCCAGGAGAGCACATAAAAATGGTGTGCCACGCATGACCATGATGGGTCTGAGCAACCCCGGCAGTTCGGTTTTAAATGGATTGTGCCCCCCCGGCTTAGAGCTCGAGTTCGGCGGCTTGTTTGGACTACGCTTTTTTTTTTTTTTGGGCTCAGTTCGCTTTCGCCTCGAGCGCAGTCCGAGCGATTTTCCCCCGCTTTTTGTGTTCCCAGGATTCGATTAGAGTACCAGTGTGCGTGTGCCTGTGTGTGAGCCAAGATCTCCCAGCTCCAAGTCCACTGGCCATTCTGCTCCCCGAGCACCTTCATTTTCTTTCTTTCTCTGCAAGTGTGTGTGGTGGCAATTAAGGTCTTAATTAGACGTAAACTCGTGTCGGATG